GAATTAGTTTATATATATATATATATACAATATAAAAAAAAAAAAATATATATATATATATATACTATCACACTGGGTATATAAACCATGTGTTGGGAATTTTTAAGGCTCAAAATGCATAACTTTCAGTAATGATTTTCGAGCTCTTTGTAAATCCAGAAACTTTTTTTTGTAGATCCTTCCTATATACTAATATAGTATATCAGAACTGATTGACTAAAGATACATACACTTGCTTTAATAGCTGTGAAAAATAAAGGACAATTATACAAATATTCAACCCCTTTGTACCCCTATGGAATTTTTAAAAACTGTAAAATACCGAATTTCATGGATATAACTTGAAAAATGACGGACGTTCATACAAACGTTAACGGCCCATTTAACCCCCTTGGGGGTGGAATTTCAAAAAACCTTTTCTTAATACTCGCTTACGTCATGAATGAAATCTACTGTCAAAATTTCAAGTTACTACCACCTTTGGTGGTTTAAGCTGTACGTTGATAGATCTGTCACTCAGTCAGTCACCTCAAGTATTTTTATATGTATAGATTTTCCTATTTCTCATGTAATTGTAAGTATAATTGATTGCTGCAAAATGACTATCTAATTTATAAAACTAGTAAATCGATAACGGGTTGCACTCTATGAGCACCAACTATTATGTAACACTAGACATTTTGGTTGACTTAACATTTGTATGTACGCGCGGTGGGCTAAATGTACTAGTATACGGGTTGCAATAGTTCTTAAGGAGGACATTTAAAAAAAATACATTAATTCCTTTTCTTCTCCTTATCACGACCGAACAATCCGGCAGTTGGCATACATCGCTTGGCTATTGATATTACTCGCACTTTAATTGAATGGTTTGCTCTATCTTTCGTAATGCGTACAGCAAGGGAGTAGATTATTTTTACGCATATATGGCCTCCCTAAATGAAATTCGGTCTGATAAAAAAATATTAATAATTAACGAAAATTAAATCATATTTGTAATTACTAATTAGTGGTAATGATTTTTGAGTGTTTGTAGCTTTGAGATATATCGTCAACCGCCTGGAAGAATAAATTGTTACCAAAACCACCACAAACTTCGCAATGTGAGGATTTGACATAACGTGAAAAATGTTGCCGTGTAGTTGCGACCTAAGAAAATTCATCACTTATGAATATTCCTGATGGCGGCTGTTCATTAGATGAAGTGACGATCTAGTAAGATATGCAGAAAGTCAATAGTTGCAATTATAAGTGGTAGAGCCACGCCGCAGCTATATTATGGTTGCAGCACGAATGGGTCGGCTCGACCGGGGTGTAAAAACGCTTTATCAGAATACCAGCGTAAAATATGAGCTTAAAGCTGCTGTGTTTCATATGGTGAATTTGGAGAACTGGAGACACTTTTTACAGATAATGAGAGTATTCCATCTTAGCCCTTAGGAGTGACAACGTATCTATATTTTGAATTATAATCGAGGATAAATATAGATATCTATGGGCCACAGCATCAACTTACCACAAGGTGTAATATGTGCTTGAAACGAAAAAAATGCTGCAGTATTATTATTCTGCCGTTACATTTACGTTAACTTATGCTGAAACTAAATTTCATTTAATTCATTAAGTCCCCATACTTAGTTTTGTTTGTGATGTTACTCCTCATTTTGCGTTCACTAACAACAAATCTCATAACGATTTTCTATAAAAGCAATAAATTAAAATTATTCTAAATCAAATTGAAATGTCCGTCTGTAATATCGATAAATTTTCCTTGAATCTTGAATCTACAGAAAATTTTGGAAAAACTTGAACTTTGTGAAAAGCAGCGTGAATTCTTCGTTATTTTTTTTAAACAAACCACGTATTTTATCGTATATTTTATCTTGTCTGCGAAAATGCGTAATACTGCTTCTGTCAGTTTGCTGACATTGAACCATTATTCTGCATCAGTGGTCTGTTCTTTGAGCCATATGGCCGATTCATTAGCCACCTAATTCTTATTATTACGTAAGAACCTACAGAATTTCTCTTTCCTGATCTCTCTCAGCAGCTTTGAGCTTCAAACATTATATAACTATTAGTGGAAAACTACGTCGTGATTGCATAACATCACTAGCAACAAACAAAATCTTAAGTCTTTAATATTTATTTTATTTTTCGGAATTTTAATTAAAGAGTACTACTGATATAAACGCTAAAACAAAAATTAATGGAAGCGTTGTCTGTCTTTGTCTCTGTCAATCCACAAAAGCCTGTGAATGAAATTTTTAGGTCTAATTATCTGGAAACATATTAACTCTGGAAAAATGTAGGCGAGGCTTTGAACACAGGTTTTGACGTGTTTCAAAATTTTCTGAAAAACGTAACATTACTGCCCTAATGCGTGTCCCATATCTGACCAAATGCGTGTTATCAGGAAGATACTGCTGCCCATCTCCTGTTTCAAATTCCCTCTGTCAACTCTTACAACACCCATAGGATGATAATATGGTGTAGTGGATTCTCTTAAAAGTATTCAAAAAATATTTTTAACAGAAGTCTCATCTTTTATTTTAAAATATCGAAACTTTATCTATATTTAACAATCTTGATTGTTTAAAAGAGAATATAAAAATATTTATACAATTATCAATTAACAATCACTTCATGACCCCCTGTAACCATAATATAGACATAATTTAAAATGGATTGGTTTATATATTAATAATATATAGCATGTTTCTTGTATATTTTTGACGCATTATTTTATGACAAAATATTATAAAAAATTATCTTCATCGTCATCATCAGCCCGTTAAAGAAAAGTAAAAGATATCTCACACCTTTGAGCAAATGCACCTGGCAGTCCGATGCCAGTTTTATATACTACATATGCGCCCTTTACAATATATATATATATATAATTTAGTGTCCAGGGAGTTTCGGGGGCAATGAATCGATCTAGCTAGGATTTATTTTTAGAAAATGTCTTTTTTGTCCGTGTTTTCAGACAATGAAAAACTGCTACAATATAAGAAGGTAATTTTTGACACGTTGTTAATGATCGTAATAGCTCAAGTGGATATCGAGCGGTCGCGAAATCGTAATGCCTTGGTTTGCGTCCTGTCTTCGGTCCGATTTTTTTTCCTTTTTTTTCAAGTTCCCTTCTTTTGTGAGAAAATCTATTATTTCGAGCCCTTTTTTTTCAGTATTTTTTTAAAATACGAAAATTTTAATTAAACTAATTGCACTCATGATTTTTTATTCAAATAACCAGTTCATTTTTTTTATTATGTCAATAAGACCAAAAAATATTTATGTTTCATCAGTATATAATGTCTATCCAAATGCAATTTCAAAAAAAAAAAACCGAGCAAAGCTTGGTTATCCGGGTACTAATATATAATAAAAAGTTATAGTATATAATCTTTAAATCAAATAAATTTCTAACTTACTCGGTTTCAAAATAATCGAAGAAAAAATTAAATGCTAAGTCGCGGTCAAAGCTAGTTTACTATGTAATAGAACTGTTGTGATTATGTTGATTTTTTATATGATCTAAAGGATATGAATAAGACTTTATATTATAATATTAATATATCGTACAAGGATATAAAATAACATAACCTTTTCTAGAAATATCATAAAGCACGAAAGACAAGGGCACATATTTCTCGGTGCCGTATACAATGGTCTTATATTTGATTTAATATTTTCACTAAATTAGACGTAGGCATTGAACTAAATTAATTAATTAAGCCGTGTGCAAACTGTAACGGATTAATTAAGACTGTAAGTACGTGCCGCAAAATAAGATATTACATTACAGATTACAAGGAAATTAAACACAATTAGTTCAATATATTTCGCTACAATTTATTTAAGATTAATATCATTTAAAAATGTATTTCATACTTGCAATATTATAACGTGAACCCCTAATAATAGTCAAGTAAAATATATACCAATAAAAAGGAATATTTAAGTAACAATCAAACATCACAATAATTGCTTTTTTCAAAGAGAAAATCTTCCAAAATTCGTTTGGTGATTTGTTGACACAGTAATAAAGTATGTCGTAGATAACGTTGAATAATATATTATATAAAATCATAAAGCAACCTTACCACCAGAGGGGAGTAGCTATGTGCTGGTGTTCTCCTCTATCAAAGTATAATTCCAAGCGCTCCTATGCTTACAATAAAACCAGTTGCAGCCGCACTGCTCACTAGACTGAATCTATTTGAGCGGCGTCGTACAAAAATGCCAAATTGTTCAGTTTTTTTCTGCAAAAAGAGATCTCCCACGTCAATTAAAAAAAATATGGCGTTACCTTACAATTTATGGAACGTTCGAGCGATTGATCCAAGTATTCGACAATATTCTTGCATTGCCACTACACGTTCATTCTATTTGTACATTTATAAACTAACTGTTCCCCGCGACTTTGACCGCGTGGAATTTATTACGATTGGATTTCAAATGTTTTTTTTTTGCGCGGAACCATAGGTCTTTTTCTAAAATAAACGTAGATTTGTTTATTCCTTATAATATCAGCTCTCTGCCAGTGAAACTCCCATCAAAATCGGTTCAGCCATTATGGAGATTACCCGGAACAAACAGACAGACAGACATATAGACAGACACAAAAAACAAATTAAAGATTGTTTTTTTGGTATAAGTATAGTAAATACTTTCATATGCATTTAGTAAAAAGCTTTTATTTTGACGTTACAAACAGACACATCAATTTTATTTATTTGTTTATATAAGTTATAAAATCATGACAAAAAATAAGATAATAATAATAATAATGGGAATTGACGACCCCATCGCCCGCTGACGTAACGGTTAAGTGACAAAACTGCTACGTCAACGCAGTCAGTCAGCGCCTTGCGAGAGGTGTGAGCGCCATGCCTCGGCAGAATTTAGAGTGCAAAGACCCGTTTGTGCTTATGGCCACACACGATACGGTGCCGGGCTTGGGCGTCTCCCGTTAATGGACGCCCAAATAATGGATGATGGATAAGAAGATAGTGCGCAAAGGGCCGCTGCCTGGGGGTCGCCGGGGCGCGTCTGGAGCTGGCGCTGGACGCGGCAGCATGCGGGCCGCCAGCCGAGTGCGAGGAGCTGCAGGGTCACCTAACAGCCCTCCGCATCCATCATCCCCACCAGAAGGCTTGGTGTCGGCTGGGTCTTCTCAGGCTCAGCAAGCGGCACCCGCCGCTGGTGGAGCACGTCGCATGCGTTGGTCACAAGCAATGAATACAAACGCACTGCGGGCGTACTTTAGGGCAAAAGGGAAAGAAACTGGATGTTTGGCGTACCGGGCTAGGATGCATCGTCTTTTTGCTGAGCTGGAGCCATCTTTAACCGTCACAGAGCAAAACCTGGCAGACCGAGTTCGGCATATCTTGCGCTCAAATATATTTGATGTCGCCGAACTCGAACGGCTACGACGTGAGGCTGTTCCCTCATCGGATGAAAATGCTACGGCTGGGGATGCAGCGCCACAAATGATAAAGCAACCCGCAAACATGGATGCCGCCGTGAATACCCCAGTTGTGGTTGATTCAAACGATGATGGAACAGTCGCCCAGGAACTGGAATTAGAGCATATGAGGAGTACAATGGAAGAGGCGATTTTGGAAACGCGCAGTGCGCCTCTCGAAAATCGACCGCGACTTCCCCGCATAGCCCTAAGCAAGCGGAATCGGGCTGTCTTGAGGGCTCTGAACCCAATGCTGGTGACCTATTTGGAAGCCAGCCGGGACCTTTTGCGAGACGGACTCAATTCTTTTTGGCGCCGCGCTGGCAGTCTGCCGTATCATAGGCGCCAAGGGTTTCCACGGCTGGACTCGCTACTGGCCATAGTAGCGCTATCCCAGCATGGAGAAGAAGAATTGAGGAACGTATCGCAAAGGCTGGAGCTCTCATAACGGCAATAACTATAATCTATCAATATATAAAGGCAATAACAGGCCAAGAATTGGGCGCACCGTCAGGATGGCGTTTGCTGGGACAAATGTCAGTTTGTTCTAGCCGGATATAACGCAAAAACTGACGGAGTGCATAGATGATCTGAAGCAAATAATCGCTGCTTGGGGAAAGCGGATTCGGCGATATACCGAGAGGTCGACACGGTTCAACCAGAATCGTCTCTTCCAGAGTGATCAGAAGAGGCTCTATGCATCATTGGAGCGACCAATAGTAAGTGGAACGGGCCCAGCACCGAATCAGGCCGACACTGTAGCATTCTGGCGCGGCCTGTGGTCAGAGCCCGTAAACCACAGCGAGGGCCCTTGGAGAGAAGTTGTGGCGAGTCAGTGTGCGGGTATTACGCCCATGGACCCCGCCATCATAACACCGGATGACGTAGCTGAGGCGGTCCGTAGGACCCCGAACTGGAAAAGTCCGGGGCTTGACGGGCTGCATCACTACTGGCCGAAGGGGTTCATGGTGTGTTACTCTGTGCTTGCCCGACAGTTTCAAGAGGCTCTCAACCAGAAGTCGCTCCCAAGCCTCTTCACTACTGGGATCACTCATTTGGTTCCTAAAGTCCAGGGTACCAAGCAAATACCGCCCCATCACGTGTCTACCGACCATATACAAGACACTAACATCCATTTTGAGCGCGAGAATCACTCGTCACCTGGACTCAAATCAGGTGATGTCGCGCGCTCAAAATGGATGTCGGGGCGGTGATTGTGGAACCAAGGAACCACTCCTCATTGACGCGGTCATTGGCAAAGTGGTGCAACGCAACCGTCGGAACTTCTCCGCCGCCTGGATAGACTACAGAAAGGCATTCGACTCGGTGCCCCATACGTGATGGCTAAAGAGAGTCCTCGAGCTGTACAAGATAGACTGTACAGTTAGAGACTTCCTCGAGCAGTGTATGGGGCAGTGGAGTACGATCCTTTGTCATCTGGGCGAGCGGAGGATGGTTGCGGAGAACCACATAAGGATAAGAAGGGGTATCTTCCAGGGCGATTGTCTGAGTCCAATCTGGTACTGCCTCTCTCTGAACCCTCTCAGTACCTTACTGGAAGGCTCCGGGAGGGGATTTCAGATACGGAAAGGAGGGACAAAAGTGACCCACCTTTTCTATATGGATGACCTCAAGTTATTCACCTTCAGTCGCTCCCATCTTATGGAATTGCTAAACATCACTTGTGAATTTAGTAATTCCATTGGAATGGAGCTGGGGACGGATAAGTGTGCGGTCCTCCATGTTGAAAGGGGAAGGATTGCTAACTCTGAGGGCATAGACTAATCTATGCCCGTCAACTTAAGAACCCTTTCCGAGGCTGAAACATATCGATACCTGGGTATGTCACAAAACATCGGTATCGATGAGACTTGTATGAAACATTCAGTTTGCGACGTGTTTTATGCACGCTTGACCAAAGTGCTTAACAGCCTTTTGTCCGGTGTGAAAAAGGCACACGCATATAACGGCTGGGTCATGCCTTGTCCTCATGTATACCTTTGGCATACTCAGGTGGACTTAGACTGAACTTAACGCCCTGGATAGAAAAGTCCGCACTACCATGATGTCCCATAGGATGCATCATCTGAGATCGTCGGTAATGAGGCTGTACTTGCCGCGGAAGCATGGTGGTCGTGGCATCTTGAGCGCGCTCACCATGCATAATCGTGAAGTGTGCAGCCTCCGTGATTACTTCCTGGCGAGATCGGATGATCCATTCTATAGGGACGTCATTTCTTGTGATAAAGGACTTACCCCTCTATCCTTAGCCAACGAGCAATGGCAAGACCCGACAGTGCAGAGCATTTCCGACCGGGAGACCGTATGGAAGGAGAAGGAGCTCCACGGGAGGTTCTACAAGGCTCTACATGAGCCTTTCGTAGACACAGTAGCCTCCCTCAACTGGCTACGCTTTGGCGATATCTTCGGGGAAACCGAGGGTTTTGTCTGTGCAATACAGGATCAGGTAATTAAAACCAACAACTATCGGAGATACATCCTAAAGGATGGCACCGTCGACATCTGTCGAGCTTGTCGCCATCCCGTGAGTCACTTAGGTATGTCATCTCTGGTTGTACGGCGCTTTCTAACTCTGAGTACTTGCACAGGCACAACCTAGTAGCCAGAATTCTTCACCAGGAGCTCGCTCTGAAATACGGTCTCGTGGATCGGAAATTGCCGTATTACAATTACTTGCCGGAAGCCGTGCTCAAAAATGATCGCGCCAGGCTCTATTGGGACCGGGCCATCATCACAGACAGGACTATTCTTGCGAATAAGCCTGATATTATGCTGATGGACCGGGCACAGTCAAGGATATTTTTGGTCGACATTACCATTCCGTATGACGAGAACCTCGTGAAAGCCGAAACAGATAAGCAAACAAAATATCTGGACCTGGATCGCGAGGTGACCGACATGTGGGGTGGTCTGCCGACCGAAATTATTCCTGTAGTCATCTCTGCGAACGGGCTAATCCCAGTCAGCCTCTCGGGTCATCTGGGGCGGCTGGGACTACGTGGCGGACCGCTCCAGGCTCAAATGCAGAAGGCGGTGCTCCTCGATACCGCCCGCATCGTCCGCCGGTCTCTTTCCCTTTTCCCCTAACCGTCTGCCGTTTGGTCTCCTCTGCCGAGGGCCTCCATCTGGTTGGGCTTTTATTTATTTATTTATTTTTATATTAATTTACGTTATTGATATTTATGTATATTTATGATACCAATCAATATAAATCCAATGTATGTACCCAACCAGATGAGAAAACTATGATAATACCCCAATAATAATAATAATAAATTATTACCGTTGGAAATTATATAGATACCCCATTAATAATAATAATACCCCAACTGAGAAGCCACGGGACCCGATAAGATCCACAATTTTTGGCTTAAGAAGCTCATTGTTCTGCACAAACCAATGGCGGCGTGCTTTACTTCCTTCCTACGCGACCCCCAACTAGTGCCTTCCTATCTAACCGTTGGAATAACATATCTACTTCCCAAAGATGCAAATACGCAGGACCCTGCGAAATACCGTCCGATCACATGCCTCAGCACTTTTTATAAAACATTGACCTCTTACCTCTCTAACAAGATCTACCAACATCTCGACCATCACTCTCTTCTGGTAACAGAGCAGAAAGGGTGCATTAAGAGATCATTGGGATGCAAAGAACAACTCACGATAGATTCAGTTATCACGGGGCAAACGTATCAAAAGTCGCGGAAACTCCACATGGCCTACATCGATTACAGGAAAGCTTTCGACTCCGTGCCGCATTCCTGGTTGAGGGAGGTACTCAAACTTTATAAGATCGACCCTGAAGTTATCACTCTACTAGAATACTTTACGACAAATTGGGCAACTTCTCTTCATCTGAACCATGGCGTTAACCAGAAGATCACAACAGGGTACATACCGATACGAAGAGGAATCTTTCAAGGAGACAGCCTTAGCCCTTTATGGTTCTGCCTTGCACTCAACCCCCCTCTCCTCACTCCTTAATGAAACAGGACATGGATATCTTATAAAAGGGGCTCAGGGATATCACCGAAAGCTGACTCACATAATGTATATGGACGATATTAAGATCTATGCGGCAAATGAACGAGTGCTCCAAACGCTGGTTCACTGCACTGAACAGTTCTCTAGTGATATTAATATGTCATTTTGACTTGAAAAGGGCAGAACCGTAAATGTTTACCGTAGACGAACTGAGTCATCTAGAGGTTTCGACCTTCAGAGAGATGGAAAGATCGACGTGATGACAGAAAATGACACCTATAAATATCTGGCCATCACCCAATCACTTCGAATCAATCACGGCGAAATTAGGTCGAAGATGACTGAAGTATACAATCAAAGGCTTAAAAGAATCCTCAGTTCAGGCCTTAATGGACGCAACCTCACTAAAGCAATTAACACCTTTGCCCTCCCAGTATTAACTTACACGTTTGGAGTAGTTAACTGGTCAGATACTGAACTGGCAAAAATTGAGAGGTCTACTCGCGTCATGCTTACTAAATATCTTATACATCACCCAAAATCAGCCGTTGAGCGGGTAACTCTATCTCGAGCCAATGGCGGTAGAGGACTGATAGATATTCGTAGATTGTGTGCTCAACAATTCGGAGTCTTTGAAGTTATTTCCTTTCGTAAACGTCCTCTCCCCTGCATCAAGCAGTAATAAAGGCTGATGACCGTCTAACAACGCTCGATCTCCTTCATGCCGACAATTTCCCACCGTTAGAGACTGACACTGAATACAAAGAAGCCAAACTCCAGCAATGGGCCTCAAAACCTCTTCACGGTCGATTCGCTAATGAACTGAGTCAACCACATGTCGACATTGAAGCGTCGAACAATTGGCTCGGACATGGTGAGGTCTTTGCTGAAACTGAGGGATTCATGGTGGCGATTCAGAATCAGGTTGTGCCTACGAAAAATTATCTTAAGTACATTGTCAAGACAGGTAGCGAAGATGACCAGTATCGACGGTATCATCAAAAGCCAGAGACCATCCAGCACATAACTGGCGGCTGCCAGGCTCTTGCTGAAACCGAGTACACCCAGCGCCATGACAACGTGGCAAAAATTGTGCACCAAGAGCTGGCAGTAAAATACGGTCTCCTTAAGGAGACAGAACCCTACTGGAATTACAATCCATCCCCGGTACTCGAGAATAATTCTGCCCAACTTTATTGGAATAGGTCAGTTTTAACTGAACGGACCGTTGAGCATAATTGACCGAACATAATATTAGTAGAAAAGGAGGAGAAGCGGACGTGGTTGTTGGATATTGGCACTCCAAACTCGCATAATGTGCAGCACTGAAAAGTTGACTAAGTACCAGCGGTTAGCTGAAGAAATCCGACAGTTAAGGCGACAGCAGCAGGTACTTATCGTCCCACTGATTCTCTCTACCACGGGAGTTGTTCCAAAATC